GATTTTACTGACTTAAGTAATATAAATATCTATATTTCACAACTTGATTATAACTTGCTTTTAAAAATACCTATTTCTAAACCAACAAGGCATTATAAATGCCTTTCTTGACTCTCTTGTTCTAAATCAGCTGTATGACCAAGTCCATACCATGTTTAACAAATTGCTTACTATACTTCTTAGCTATAAAAGTCCTTTACAATATTTCTCTATGGAATTGAATATTAAGGCATTGTACTAGAAGACAAATTTTAGCAGTTTGTTTTTCAGTAATTATTTAAAAGTCACAAAGTACCCAAAAAGAACCTATTAGTATGACAGTGTGATCAACAAAGTACTGTCTGAGGTCAGTATGTGTATCATGAAAACTACTGGGTTTGTTCTGTGTGTGTATTCATGGTTAGGTTCAGTAATGTGATTAATCCTGGGCACTTTTGCTTCCAGGTGCTCATTCCATGCTTATATATTTGAGTTGTAAGGAACTATTTGTAGTTTTTACTCTTGTTTTCTCTATGCTAATTTTAAGTATGAACATTTGTGTATTATTTGCTGCATTAGTAAATGTTTTCCCCAAACAGATTAAGCAGATTAAGGGTTGTTGTGTTTAAGACTATTGTTTTCTTTTTTCTTTTCTTTCTTTCTTTTTTTTTTTTTTTGAGACGGAGTCTCACTCTGCCACCCAGACTGAATTCAACCTCCGCCTCTCGGGTTCAAATGATTCTCTTGCCTCAGCCTCCTGAGTAGCTGGTACTACAACCTCACACCACTAGGCTTGGCTAATTTTTTTGTATTTTTAGTAGAGATGAGGTTTCACCTTGTTAGCCAGGCTGGTCTCAAGCTCCTGGCCTCAGATGATCCACCTGCCCCGGCCTCCCAAAGTGCTGGCATTACAGACGTGAATCACCATGCCTGGAAAGACTAAATTTTTTTTTTTCTAAAGTTTTTATTTTGTAAATTTTAGAAATGATGCATGGATATTTAAAGTTCTATCACCTTAATACCAGGAAGGTATTAGACTGATAGACCTGATACAGTGTTCTGCCATACATCTTGTGTGTACGTTATCCTTTGTAAGGCCTGCAACAATCCTTCAGGATAGGTGTCATTAGTCTTATTTTACAGGAAAAGCAGAAGCTGACACCATAATGACCATCTGATGGCTAGTTGGTTTGAGGTTTCTCTTTCTTTTTGTTGTTCTTCAGTTCTCAAGTAAGCAGTTGAATATGTATCTGGATTTCAGGGGAAAGTTTTAGACCGGAGATATACTGACAAATTTATGCATGATAAAAAAACAAATACAGATTTGATGTTCTCACAAAAAAGTGTTTTTGTGTTACAAAAATTAGTTGAAATGATTTCTACCTGTGGCACATTGTCAGTTTTGCACACAAAATATAATTACTGTTAAAGGATCTACCCTTTTTTATGCATACAGAGCCTTTTATTCATAAGCTACAACAAATTACAGTACACGGGAGCACAAAGTGTATTGTGCCTTTTGGTTTTGCTTTGTGTTTATTTATTTCTGCTAAACCAGACCTAGTCTTCAATCCTCTTTTCTGTCACTTACTAGCTTTTATGTCTTTGGGCAGGTCATTATAATTCTGTGAATCTTATTTTCTGGCTTGCAAAACCAGATCAAAAATTATCTAACTTGAATGTCACAGAATAGGAATCCCAGAAACACATTTAGCCATTTAGAACGTGCTAAAAATAAAATGTAAAAATAATGAGAAAAAGATGAATCATTATAAAGATGTAGGTGGAAAGCTTAGGGCATGCATTCAAACTATAGAACAACATCTATTGCTGGTGGTTCTGCCTCCTCTTCTTCCACCCTGCAAGCACTGGGCCATGGGCAGAAAATTGTGGGGCAAAGGAGGAGAGCTTTTCTGATGTAACCCAGAGTTTTCCTGGGAAGGAAAGACTATCTCAGTGTCTAATGCCCCTGTCAATACAAATTAATCCAAAAACAGATTAATCTGGCATGTCTTTATACATTATACATCACCAAAAATGGATTTTAATAACAAACATTTTGTTAGGTATTTTTGATATGTTAATACCTGTGAAAGCACCTTCCCAGTCTAGCTAGGTGGACCTGACTTTGAATTCTGATGACAGCACTCTTTAGCTGTGTGCCTTGGATAAGTTTCATGATTATAGCAACCTGTTTCTACATCTGTAAAATGATATTGTGATTAATCTACCTGAAAGTGTGGTTCTGAGCCTTTAATGAGGCATTCATGGAAAGGCTAGCACAGTGTTTGCCTCATGCTCCACCTACACTAGAGGTGATTATATGAGTTGTTCACTAAAGGGTGCTCAGATTATTACCATTATGTTATCACTTCATGCCTTCACATATTCTGTCTTACTGACATATCCTTTGCCTTTTCCCTGTCCGTTGTGTTCCTGGGAATTCTATAATTTTATTTGTCCGTCTATCACAGTGCCTAACACAAAGCTTGATATTAAAAAAATGTACATTTTTGATGGAAGAATGAATAATGAAACTACTAAAGGCAAAGAGAGTGAACAGTTTCTTAGTGGAGAAGAGTTTCCCTTAAGGCTATTCTTGTGAAGTGAGAGTGAACAAGCTTTTTTCCATAAAAGGCCAAGAGTTAATGTTTTAGGTTTTGTTATCAGTAAGGTCTCTGAAACAACTACGCAGCTCTGTCCCTGTAGCATGTTCGCAGCCATAGATAGTACATAATGTGAGGCTGTATTCCAATAAAACTTTATTTTTATAGGACTAAAATTTGAATTTCATGTAATTTTCGTGTGTCATCAAACTTTTGTGAAATTTTTTTCAACCACTTAAAAATGAAAAAATTATTCTTAGCTCATAGACCATATAAAAAGAAGTAGAGGGTTGGATTTGGCCTGCAGCCATAATTTGCCAGTCTCTGAGCTAGAAAAATAATGTGTAACCCAAACTGGAGGGAATTCTGGCTTATTAGTCAATGTCCATTAGACCCATCATAATAATAGGAAAAGGATATTGTGGAAATGTGAGGGGGCCTCTCTAGTGATACGTTAGGTTTAAACTTGGATTCAATTATTGTAAAATCCTTCAGTTTCTTCTCTGACACAGCAGTGTCTAGAAAAGAACATACATTTAGAGATGGAGTTTTACCAAATATCTTATATTCTGACCTACAGGTGAGAGCTAAACCTTGGGTACACACAGATATGAATACAGAAACAGTAGACACTGGGGACTCCAAAAGGAAGGAGGAGGATAAGGGCTGAAAAACTTTCTATCAGGTGCTATGTTTACTATCTGGGTGACTTGATCAATGGAACCCCAAACCTCAGCGTTACGCACCCTTGTAATAAACATGCACACGTACCCCTGAATCCAAAATACAATTTTTAAAAAAAAAGTTGAGTTTTAATCTCCTTCAGGTAGCTCTGCAGCCTTGGGAAAGCTTCTTGACCTTTCTAAGCCTTAGAATTATCATGGGCAAAATACACATAATAATCACAATTTTTTTAGTGTTGTTATTAGAGTACATAGGTGTCTAATAGGTAATCAATAAACTGTAGCAATTATTGCATGTTTAGATTTAGTTTTTCCAATGTTATTTCTCAAATAGTTCTGTTTTCTGCTATTTCTTTCTTTTTTTTTTTTTTTTTAAATAACTTTAAAGTTCAGGGGTATATGTGCAGGTTTGTTACATAGGTAAACTTGGGTTATGGGGGTTTGTTGTGCAGATTATTTCGTCACCCAGGTATTAAGCCTAATACCTATCAGTTACTTTTCCTGATTCTCTCCTTGCTCCCACCCTCCACCCTCCAATAGGCCCCAGTGCGTGTTGTTCCCCTCTATGTGTCCACGTGTTTTCGTTATTTAGCTCCCACTTGTAAGTGAGCACACATGGCACTTGGTTTTCTGTTCCTGCATTAGTTCACTAAGGATAATGGCCTCCAGCCCCATCACGTCCATGCAAAGGACATGATCTTGTTTCTTTTTATGGCCACATAGTACTCCATGATGTAAATGTACCGTATTTTCTTTATTCAGTCTATCATTGATGGGTAAATGTTCTACGTTAGCAGTTTTGCCTTTCTTACCCTTGCCTGTTTCACATTTATAAAAATTTCTTTAATTCCTTAAAAATTTGTGAATTTGAGTCAGAATTCTTAAAGGTGTTTCCTTTTTTATCGCGTATTTGCATTGTTTATACCAGTGGGGCTCAAATATAATACAAGCCACATATGTAATTATAAATTGTCTAGTAGCTACGTTAGAAAAAAGTAAAAAGAAACAGCTAAAATTACCAATATGTTTTATTTAATATCATATATCCAATATCCAAAATACATTTAATATGTAATTAATATTTAAAAATTTGTGATATATTCTTTTTTTTTTATTTTATTTGAGATGGAGTCTCACTCTGTTACCCAGGTTGGAGTGCAGTGGCATGATCTCAGCTCACTGCAACCTCTGCCTCCCGGGTTCAAGCGATTCTCCTGTCTCAACCTCCCCAAGTAGCTGGAACTACAGGCTAGTGCCACCACACATGGCTTATTTTTGTATTTTTAGTAGAAACGGGGTTTCCCCATGTTGGCCAGGCTGGTCTTGAACTCCTGACCTCAAATAATCCTCCTGCCTCGGCCTCCTAAAGTGCTGGAATTATAGGTGTGAGCCGCTGCTCCCGGCCGATATTTTGCTTTTTTTTTTTTTTTTCCCATATAAAGTCTTTAAAATTTAGTAGATACTTTACACTTACAGCACCTCTCAGCTCATACTAATCACATTTTGTGTGATTTCTAGCCTGTAGCTACTTGAACAGTCCAGGCAGGCCCATATATGATAAATAGCAATACTTCAGACACTTGCTATTTCCAGAAGTTCATCTTAGACTTTAGTGGTAGTAAACAAGTTCGTATTTTACATTGTTAAAACTGACAATATAGAAATGTTTTGTATTATATTTCAAATAAGTAAAAATGTACCCAACTCACAAAAGTAATGCTGTACTTTACAGACCGGAGTACATTGGGAAGCATCAAAGAAGGAATCTTGAAAATCAAAGAAGAACCATCCAAAATACTATCTGGAAATAAGTTTCAAGACCGGTATTTTGTTTTACGAGATGGGTTTCTCTTTCTTTACAAGGATGTGAAGGTATAGTATTTGAACATGCATACATTTTTATTTGTGTGGATATTAACATTCATATTTTATGCTACTCTCAGCCATCTCTCTTGGATGTCACTGCCTGTAGTATATAAAATGCATGGTAAGCTGATGATTTCCTTCAGCCTCTGGGATAAGATATTAATGCACTCAGTAACACAGTGAAGAATTTTATAAGGCCTTTTTAGGCACCTCAGGTTTTGTAGGATAGTGAATGACTTAAGCCCTGAAGAAAAGTCTAATATGTGTTATAAATCAACATCTCAGTCAATAAAATTAATAGAGAATGTGTGATAACCTAAAATAAAAGGCTTCAGATTAGCTACTGGAAATTAATAAAAGGTGCAATAAAATGACCAAACCCCAAAGTTAAAATAAATGTTATTAGTATCTTTCCTATGCAGTTGAATGAATTGACTCATTTTAAATTTCATATGTATTAATGTAATCTTATTGATATATCCCCTATAATTTAGTTCCCTAAAAGATCTTATTAAATAATTGTGGAGTGGATAAGAGAATTAGATATATAAAAAAGGGAGTAGATAAATGTTGTAGCTATAAAAATATTGAACTTAACATCAGAAAATCTCATTTCTGTGAAGAACTGGTTACATGAATAAGTAACTTAACCTCTCAACCTCAGTATCCAAATCTGTAATTTAAGATAGTATGAGTTCTGCATGTCATGTTGTTTTAATGCTTAAAATATATATATATATGTTTTATATTCTCCAGGTGCAGGTTACACCAGTGTGTTCACTTTATTAAAATTCATTGAGCCAAATATGATTTGTGTACTTTTTATATATGTATTATATATACACTGCAATTTTAAAAAAGCATTAGGATAAAAAAAGCAAAACAAATATGTGCAGAGGCCCCACCTCCAGGGATTTGGTTTTTATAAGACTGCGACAGGTGCTGTTAACAGCGTTTTTCTCTAATTCGTTGAATTTTTTTTTTTTTTTTTTTTTTGGCTTTTAAGTTTAGGAATGCAAGTGAAAATTTGTTAGGTAAACTTGAGTCATGTGGATTGGTTTTACACATTATTTCATCACCTAGGTATTAAGCCTAGTGCTTATTAGTTGTTTATTTTTCTGATCCTCTACCCTCCACCCACCAAAAGTCCCCAGTGGGTATTGATCTCCACTGTGTGTCCATGTGTTCTCATCATTTAGCTCCCACTTGTAAGTGAGAACATGTGTTGTTTTTCTATTCCGTGTTAGTTTACCAATGATAATGGCCTCCAGTTCTATCCATGTTCTTGCAAAGGACATGATCTCATTCTTTTTTATGGATGCATACTATTCCATGATCATGGTGGATAAGTTTTTTGGTGTGCTGGTGAATGCCATTTACCAGTATTTTGTTGAGGATTTTTGCATTGATGTTTCATCAAGGATATTGGTCTGAAGTTTTCTTTTTTATTGTATTTTTATCAGGTTTTGGTATCAGGATGATGCTGACTTTATAGAATGAGTTAGGAAGGAGTCCCTCCTCAATTTTTTGGAATAGTTTCAGTAGGAATGGTACCAGATCTTATTTGTACATCTGGTAGGAGTCAGCTGTGAGTCTATCTGGTCCTGGGATTTTTGTGATTGGTAGGCTTTTTATTACTGCTTCAATTTCAGAACTGGTTATTGATCTGTTCGGGGGTGGAGTTTCTTCCTGGTTTAGTGTGGGAGGCTGTATATGTCCAGGAATGTACCCATTTATTCTAGTTTTTCTAGTTTATGTGCATATAGATATTCATAATATTCTCTGATGGTGGTTTCTATTTCTATGGGGTCAGGAGTAATATCCCCCTTGTTGTTTCTGATTGTGTTTATCAAATATTCTCTCCTTTCTTCTTCATTAGTCAGGCTAGTGGTCTAATAATATATGTGTAAATTCTTTTATAAATATAATGTAATAATAATAGCATGCTCCTCCAAAGATACCCTAAGAATGTGAACAGGCAAGTCCCAAAGTGAGAAAATGTATTAACATATATCAGAAAAAAGACTCATATCAGGAGTATAAAGAGCTCTTCTAAATCAACAATAAGAAAAACAGTTCAATAAAAAGTTTGGCAAGGATAGAACAGACATTACATGAAGGAAGATGTAGAAATGGCCAATAACCCATTGAACCAAAAGTGTTCAATATCATTATTAATCAGGAAATTAAAATTAGAACCACAAAACATTATTTTACATTCATTGGTATGACTAAAATCTTAACAGTGATAACAACCAATGTTAAAAATGATGTAGAATAATTAGAACTCCCACATAAATCGTTGGTGGAAGGGTAAAATCACACAATCACGCTGTAAAACTATTTGTCAGTTTTTAAATGAAGTTACTAACATAATCTACCCCATGATCCAGCAGCTCTACGCAAAGCATTTGTGATTCACAAATGCGCTTGTACAAGAATGTTCATAAGCAGATTTATTCATAAAAGCTGATAACTGGAAGCATTCCAAATGTCCACCAATAGGAAAATATTCTATTTGTATAATGGAATACTACCCAGCAACAAAAATGAATATTAACACAAGTCACAACATTGGTGAATTTTTAAAACCTTTGAAACCAAAGAAGCTTGACACAAAATAATATCATATAAGTCTGTTCATAAGAAGTCTAAGAACAGGCAGAACCATTCTATCGTGATAGAAGTCAGAAAGTGTTTGCTTAGGTTGGGGACAGAATTTGCTGCACAATTGCCAAGGAAAAAGGGTCAGTGGGTTACTTTCTAGATAGAAATGTTCTTTATCCTGTTTTGGATGGTGGTCCCATGGGGGTATGCAGCAACAACTCTCTTTGAGATTCAAGTAGTACCAAGGCAATTACTTTAAATGTAGAATGGAAGTCAGCAGGACCTGGAAAATACTTTTTTAATATTGAATTATAAAATTCACTTGGGTAAACATTGCTTGCACACTTATAAGTGAATGGTGCTTCACTGTGTTCTGTTGCGGAGATGCACAAAGACAGACCAGACTGTAACATCTGTTAATATGTTACAAAGAAAAAATTGTTAAGCAGCTTTCCAAAGCCACGGCTGTAGTGTTCTGTGGCTTCTGTTCAGCACTTCCTATGCTTTAATTACTATCCCTGTATATTCCTCCAGCAGAGAAGCCTCCATGTGGGCATGAATAAATCATAGTAGCATCCTATTCTGTGTATACATTCCGTGTTTGCTTTCCTCATGGACAATGGAATGTTCAGGCAGGAGACTAATAAAACAGCCTGAATTCTGCGGCCCTTATCACAGATTCATATTATATATTGCACTTGAACCCCACTTGATATCCAGAAGGGAGTCTGTGTGGGTATCAAGTGGTTACTATCATTTACTAACATTCTTCATTTTACCCATAAAGGAATAGTAGATTTTGTAGAATTATGGGGTTATGTGATGGAACACATCAGATTTTAAGGTTCATGAACTTTACGTTTGTGCTTGTGAAAATACAGGCTAGACTTCACAGCTTATTGTTCTAGTCAAGTAGAACTGAATCTGATAGAATTTTGTTTGGTTTTGTGCAGTGGACCACCCACCTTGATTTTCAAAAGACTGATTTCTTTAATCACAGTCCTTACATATACATAATATGTTGGTTAAGGATCACTTTTGCAGTTGGCATATATAGAAATCAACCTGAACTTTTTTGTTCCATCAAGGAACTGACACTTCATTGTGTAGCAACAGAAGGTTGCTAAAAACAAATATAGTAGTTTGTGGTAGTAGTAATGACAGTGCAGTAATAATAGCAGCAACTAACATTCAAGTGGCTACTCTATGTGAAGCAGAGTTCCATACATTTTATTTGGATTATCTCATTTTATCTATACAGTTACCCCACGAAATTGGTACTCTTATTATTCCCACTATGCAGATGAAGAAACAGACTCTCAAAGACGTTACATAACTTGTCCAAAATCACATACATAGTAAGCGACGGGGTCAGAATTCACTTCCAGGCATTGGACTCCAAAGGCTCTATGCAGAAACTTACAAAGGAAATTTAACGTTTGTATTACTTTAATGTTTTTGCTGAAATAATTTTATGTGGAGAGAATAAGTTTATTTTTATTAAATAGCATCAAACATTTTTAAATAAGGAAATGCAAACAATTCAGTTTTTACCCCATTTTCTCTCAAGCTGATGTACACTTTAATATCTGCCACAGGGAAGCCTGTTCATGCAGTGACTTTTACAGATACATTGTTTTTGTAAGTGAGATGAAGGGCCTCATATCGCTTAACAGAGTAAGTTTTGCTTTAAGAATCTATCTTTTTGAAAGGATCATCTTGCTCAGATTGAGCTAACTTATATAACCTGATAGGCAGTGATAGTCTCAAGAACTTGTCTGAAAACAGTGCTCTTTAAGGATACCGAACACATTTTTTAATAACAGTAACCTCGAGTTATGGAATTATTGTCTGATTATTAAGTGTTTGAAAATTATATTTGCATATCTGTCAGAATAGATTAATGCAACTGATACTTTAATTTGTGCGTTTTGAAAAGCAGATGAGAGATTCATGCTTTTCCTTTAAACTCAAACTATGGTTATTTTCAACACATGACTTCATTTTGTTATTTTTTCATGTTACGGATCTGTCCCTATTAATATTGATGGTGAAGCCATTGGCAATGTTAACTTTTCAAGTGTTTTTATAGTAAATTATCAACAGTAAAATCTCCCAACTTTTTTGAGTAAAGTGTTAGCATTTGTTTTAGTGGTTGCCATTAATATATGCGTGCTTGTATGTATTTTTTAAATGATTTAGTTAAAAGGGAGGAAAAATTACAAATTGAGAAGTATATTTAAAGAGACTTTGTGTTAATTAGAGCTGATTTATGAATACTCATTAAGAACAAATTGGGATAATACACAGGGGAAGTTACCTTTTGTTCTGCAACCTTTCCCTGCACAGAAAATGTTAATTGTTTTCCGACTTAATTTACATAAAAGGTGAGAGGTTTCAGAGAATATTACCACTATACTGTTAATAGTGTGAAGAAAGCAAATGGGTAAAGGGGGTCATTAAAAGTTGCCTGTACTTTAATAGGCAAACTCTTTTTAGGTACCAGGAATAATTTTTTAAGCACACTCATTTAATTGGCTAACTTAAAAACTTTACTTTGAAATGGAGTGACTGAAGCAACACATTTCAGACTTCATAATAGTCTAGTATATTGAACTTTTTGGAGAAATTCTCTATAAATTACACATACCAAAAGAGAAAGTTGTAATAAGCCAGCAGTAAAGCGAACTTGGCAAACGACATTTCCTTTTATAGAACTTTCCATTAAGATCTATATAGCTCCTCTTTATGAATATTCAGTTTCAAAATGGAAATGGAAAAAATGTGTTTCTACAATTGCTGAACTCCTCTCAAATTATATCATTTGTGTTTCTTTGGACAGGCTGTGGTATAAAGTAATGAGCTTGCATGCCAGGAGTGACTTGGGCAGTCAATTACCTCAGACTCTCAAACTACTTATTACCAAAAGTTTTTCAAAATGTAGGCAGTCTTGAAATCATCAATGTCCTGTGTAAATCAAGACTATCTGGTTCAGGCACAGTGTTTCTCATTCTCAAATATGCAAGTCCTATCTTCCACATACTGCTAGAGTTGCAGCCAACCCTGCTGCCTCAGTTGGGACTGCTTCTGAGGGAATAGCAATCTAAATTATTAAAAGAAACACAAACCTTGGTTGTAATTTGATTTAACCTCTGACACAGGTGACTAGGAGTCACCTATACTGCATACATTCCTCATAGCTCTCCTCTCCTTGAATATACCCTACTGTGGACACTTAGTACCTTAAAAAGCTACCTCATACTAGACAATTCAAATTGTTAAAATGTTCTTCCTTAAAGTTCAGCAAATTGCCGGGCGTGGTGGCTCACGCCTGTAATCCCAGCACTTGGGAGGCCGAGGCGGGTGAATCACGAGGTCAGGAGATCGAGACCATCCTAACTAACATGGTGAAACCCCATCTCTACTAAAAATACAAAAAATTAGCCAGGCGTGGTGGCAGGCACCTGTAGTCCCAGCTACTCGGGAGGCTGAGGCAGGAGAATGGCGTGAATCTGGGAGGCGGAGCTTGCACTGAGCCGAGATTGCACCACTACACTCCAGCCTGCGCAACAGAGTGAGACTCTGTCTCAAAAAAAAAAAAAAAAAAAAAAAAAAAATTCAGCAAATTCTCAGGCTACAGAATCAAAATCCAAAGATCCAGTTGGATTTAAAAGAGAAAAATGCATAAACTGCTTGAAAACAGCCTTAAGAAGTGGAGGCTTATGTGAAGAAAACTATAGAACTTCTCTGATAGGAGAAAAATTGATGTTATATCTGCTAATGTTGATTTATAGGTTTAATGCAATTATTTTCAAGTTTGCAAACGAAATTGCTTTTATAACTTTTCAAAAATATTTGACAATTCACCTCAAAGGATAAATAGATAAGAATAATTTGAAGATATTTTGGGAGATAAGTAAAATGAATTTGAATTATTTTTCCATCCAACTATTAAGATATACAGTAAAACTAAGATACTTAAATATTATAATCCTCGTATAAAAGTGAACAAGGAGCAATAGTACCATAAATTCAGGTAAAAAATTATATGTTAGAATTTAATTTTAATAAATATGCCACAAAACATTCATGTCTAAAGGGATGTTTGTTCAATAAATTGGGGGTAGAATATTGTCAACAAAAAAATTTAAGTCTAACATCATTTATACTGTATATAAAAAAGTATATTCCAGATTGACAAAAGATTTAAATCCTAAAAAAAACAACCCTTAAAGCTACAAGACCATGGAATTGAATATTTATCAGCTGTGTGGGAAAACTTTAAACTTAAGCAAACGTTAAGAAAGCACACCCTAAAAGGCCATTATGTTTGACTTATTAAAAAGAAGGTAAACAATGAGCTAGGTTAAGGCAAAGAGCAATTTGGATAGAATATTTCATTTAAAAAGACAAATTTCGTATTAAATACATAAAGAACTAGTACAAACAAATAAGTAAAGACATCGATAAACTGTTTACCACATCAAAACTGCTAATGGCTAGCAAATACATAAATACACACTTAACATTTGTGTTACCTTAGTGTTTTTGATAGGGTAAATAAATGTACCCTATCAGTTTAGACAAGATTTTTTTTCTGAATCATACTCTTAGCCTATGACTCAGTGGTTAAATTTCTAGAAATCTAGCCATAAGGGGAAAAATTTTAAATATGTTTTTATAAACATATTATCTACAATGATAATAATAGTGAACTTCAACTGATAATAGTGATTAGGAATAAATTCACCATGTAAATTCCAGCTCTTTGGTCATCACAGCATTATTTCTGACCATCTTCCTGGTTACTTTTCCTCTGTATTTCTTTTATATCCTCCTAACCTATTTGCTTTATGAAACTAATTTTTAATTTTATGAGCATATATTTCTCCTTTTTCCATTTTGACTGCTTTCTGAGTATTGAGAGGGGGTGTAAAGAAAATATAATTGCTCCAGGGCCAACTGTAAATTTTTAATAGTCTGTTTTAATTTGGATAGTTTTCATTAATTTGGATATTTGAGATACCTCAATATGTGTTCATATATATTCACGAGTCTGTTTTCCATAATTCCGAAATCCAAAAAGTGTAGAAAATCCCAACTCATTTGTTGGCAAAATCTGATCCAAAACAATATGAAGATAGATATAGCCTTTATCTTGAGAATATGAGTATGTTTGAATACAGGGTACTGTCCCAGTCAACATTGGTGATGGGGAGTTACGAAACATATGGCGTATGCATTGTATTATATTTTTAAAATATGAAAAATCACTTCTGATGTGATTTGGTCAGGGTCCTCTAGAGGGACAGAACTAATAGGATAGATGTATCTATGAAGGGGGGTTAAGGAGTATTGACTCCTACAATCACAAGGTGAAGTCCCACAATGGGCCGTCTGCCAGCTGAGGAGCAAGGAAGCCAGTAGTGGCTCAGTCTGAGTTCCAAAACCTCGTAAGGAGGCCAACAGTGCAGCCTTCAGTCTGGGACTGAAGGCCGAGAGCCCCTGGCAAACTGCTGGTGTAAGTCTAAGAGTCCAAAAGCTGAAGAACTTGGAGTCTGATGTTCAAGGGCAGGAAGCATCCAGCACAGAGAAGGATGAAGGCCCGAAGACTTAGCAAGTCTGCTCTTCCATCTTCTCCTGCCTGCTTTACTCTAGCCACATTGGCAGCTGATTAGATGGTGCTGACCCAGATTGAGGAGGGGTCTGCCTCTCCCAGTCCACTGACTCAAAGGTCAGTTTCCTTTGACAACACACTCACAGACACACCCAGGAACAATACTTGGCATCCTTCAATCTAATCAAGTCTGCACTCAGTATTAACCATGACATGATGCACATCTGACCCCAAGTGTTTTTGAATCAAGAATTATAGAGCCATGTGCATGGATATAACATGAATATATCCAACATTATCAATATGTATTTGATTGTATTATAAATCAAAAGAGTCTTCATTTACTAAACTCATGAAATGTACGTTTTATGAAACATTGAGAAACTAAACAATTCTAAACCCAATCATTAATGCTCAAAGAAAATGTAAGGAAATGTGTAAATCTATTTAATTACAAATTATTTTGTTTTCCTTACAGAGTAGTAAACATGACAAAATGTTTTCTCTCAGTTCCGTGAAGTTTTATCGTGGAGTGAAAAAGAAAATGAAGCCTCCAACAAGGTAAAGTTTGAAAGGAAAGTACTGAAAGGAAAAAAATTATGGGAAAACATGTCTGTTTAAGGATTTAGGGATCAGTGGCATTAGTCTAACTTTTTAGTAAGTAAGTTTTAGGCAATTTTTTTTTAAGTGGCTTCCCCTGTCACAGGGTTCTTACGGCAGATCAAGGAACTTGTATGAGTAGATAAGGAGGGATGATGTTCCCACTGAGACCAAGATCCTTGGTGATTGCAGTCTCTCTATGTAAAGTAAGAAATCCCGGGGGGCCCTGTCTGTTGGGAAGTACATGGCTTCCTCTGCATCTCATTCCCTAAGCTGTCACATCACAACCTGAGGGCAAGTCTACACACAGGAAAGCAAATGCTGCCCTCCAGCTTCCTGATGCTTGGCTTCTACAATGTTTTGATTCTGGCTCTGTAATTTTCCCTTTTGTACTATACTGACTTTGGTACTGAAAACCCATAGCATGTAAGTGGTAGAGAGGAGGTGGGCGCCTCCTACAGATTGTGTGCCTCTTTAACACTTCATGTACCCCAGCATTTGGTTTACACCACAATATCTTACCACAGATTACTTTGATTAGCTAATAATTAGTATCATGAACATCATTTATACGTGCTTGCTTCTGAGATTTTGTTGCCGAAAGTTTCTTCACTTTTTCCTTCATACTCAGTTTCTAAGCCTAGCACATATACCTGTGTTTTAATAGGCATGTTCTTTAATTTCCCCCAGGAACAGTACGTACGTCAGTCTGTATTATCTTATTTCAGTCATTTGGCCTTATTCAGTTAAGAGTATCTTCTCAGAGACGTCTCCTCTCTGCCCCATGTCATCACAAGCCTCCTTCCCTCTATATAAATGTGTAGACAGATCCCTTAGCATTTAGCGTTCACCTCTAGCTACGTCCAGCACATTGAATCATCACTTGTGGAAGTCTATACATTCCCACCATTAAATCTCATCTCCTTAACATCTAATCCTGTTTTCTGCCTTGTAAAATGTATCATTTTTAATTTATGTGTGTGTGTTTTTTTTCTATGTGATGCAGTTGGGGATTGACTGCATATTCTGAGAAACATCACTGGTAAGTTAACAGCTGACAACTTTCGGACATAATATATTGGTGACAATTTCAGGAAAAGAATAATTTCAGTAATTTCAGATAGAGCTACAGACAGAAAGTGTTTTGCCTAAGCGAAACTAGGGTTGTTTGTAAAGACTTTGAGCCTAAGAAGAGGAAAGTAGATTTGTATCAGGGTTCAAGTTCCATGTATCCTATTTGTCAATGCCTCTGAAGTGAAACTACATCTGATTTCTTCCATAGTTATTATGAGTGTGGAATTCAGCTTTTATGAGATAAGTAGGTGATAGTTTTAAAAAAGAATAAGAACTAGCAAAAATCAGATTTATGACAAACATATATCTTGCTTTCAACCCTCTTCTTTCTATATATGTACTTTTTGCCATATACTGTTACCAGTATCTACCAGTATTTCTAGATATTGTACTAGATGTTTCCTTCTCCTCACCTCCTTGTGTCTAATCAGTCACTGAGCCACACGAGATCTGCCTCTTCCTTGTGCCCCTCATCCACCTACACCTGTCTACCCTCAGGGCCAGGCCTTCATTGATCTGCCCGGATTATTCCAGGAGTCCTAAGTGCTCTTCAGGCCTCTGCTTTGCTTTTGTTTTGGCATACATTCTCCACCTCTCCATTGAGGAGTGTTTTCTATGCTGTATTATGTATCTCTCCTGCTTTAAAACTTCTGTGAATTCTCTCACCTGTAAGATCAAGCACACAATTGTTGTGTGGCATGCATGGCTGTATATGACTCTGCCAACTTCATCTCCCACAGGTTTTCTTTTTCACTTAATGACAAAACAAGCATCTGTCTTTATTCCCCACGCATTCCTTGCTGTTTCAGATCTGCATGTGTGATGTACATGGTCCCTCTACTGTACCTTTGTTCATACTTTTCACTTCTCCTTCCTTTCATACTTTCATTCTCCCCATGATGACCCAACCAACTCAACTGTCACTGTTCTTTGAAATCATAACTCAAATGCCCCAAAGCCTTATCTAATAGCTCTCACCTCTGATCATTATTTATTTCTTCTTTGCACCTACAGTATTTTATAAACAAGGGTACATAATTAAAATGATTTGTGGCAGGAATGGTTTTCCTGGACATGGTAATAGGGAAAGACAATGTTTTCATGAGGTTCTAAAGAAGAAAACACATATTTTTTAGAAATTTCATTTTCAACATTTTTCAGGTAAATTATTTTGATAATACAGGAATGTAAAAAATACAATTACTTTGAAATGCCCGTTAGGTCTTTCCAGTATCAATTATAAATTTTTCCTCTTATAAAAAACAACCCTCTCCTCATCCCCAAGTCTGTGGTTTCTGTGTTTGCATTCAATTTTATTTTTGCTTTTTCTCACTGTGTTGTAATTTATTTGTCTACATGCTTAAGTCCCCTAATAGACTACAGGAGCCTTCAGGACAAGGTCTCTGTTTTATTGAAGCTTTCAGTAAAAGGTTACTTAATCACTGTTATTGGATATGCAGTGGTTTCTCGTGTAGTTTTATTTTGTATGAATCTGTGGGTATTAGTGTTTATAATTACGATGATGGAGACTATGTCTCGGCCTTTTTAAAAGAAAGATCTGCTCTTAAGAGAATGTGCACGTATTTTTCTTCTGAGGCTCAGAATTTCAGTGGAAAACAGTGTTTTACCATCATGTCCTTGAAAAGGCAAAATGAAATTGATTTTTCTGCCTTTCCAAAAAATATTGGTGATCATTTTGCAGCATTTACCAAAGCCTTCAGTTGTATTTTGTTTAAACCAATATATTTACAGTATAACTTTGTATTGTACATTTAGCAGAAGACCAAAACAACTTGTACTGCAATGTTCCACTTTTGTGATTGCGTTATGTCATTAATAAGGAGAAACTCAAAGAGATTTTTGATCACCAAATCACCCAACAGATTAGAGAATAGTCAGTTGTCTTTGTGAATGACATAGTTTATACACCTCATTTTGCAGGCACCTGTGTTGTGATAGTTCACGAACTCAGACGGAGTGGATGACCAGTATCTTTATTGCCCAGGTATGAGATTTGTTTGAACTATCCAGTAGAGTAGAGTAGAATAACTTTGTTTACAGGAAATTTTAGTGTGATGGTGATTTTTAAAGAATTTTAATAAGCATTTTAAATGTATATACAATTGGCATAAACTTTGATTCTCCCCTTCTTAGTTTTTAAAATAGTGTATTAAAGTTCAAATGTATTCATTACCTTTTGAAAGAGAGTTTATTCCATTAAAGCTTCTTTTCTGCCAGCCCCACAGCCTCCTTGGCTTAGGTGAGGTATGTTGCTTTAAAATGGTCGTGTAAGAAAGAGGGACTTTTCTAAGCTGTCATCCTACCAGAGTCCCACATAGACCTTCATTTAGAAAAGTGTTCTGTTTCCCTTCTTGCTCTCCCACTCTCTCCACCCCTGCCTTTCCAGAAACAAGGACAGGAACCTACTTTTCTTTAATAACTATTGTGTGCTAGATACTTCATAAGAATAACTCATGTATTCCCTGCAGCAAACCATACAATATATTTTTTGGCTTTATAAAACAAAGATTTTGTTGTTTGCTGAGGACCATATATGTAATTAGTAGTTTAAACACCCGGGTGTCTGAGGCCAATACTCATACTCAGTTCTGTATTTGTTTTCCTCCCTAGAGCAGGACTTACTCTTTTGAGGAACGGTTAAATAGTCCCATTAATTGGACTGGTTTGTTTCGCAACCTTGTCTAGCTAAATTCCCAACAATGCTTCTCATGGAGCATTGAAATTCATTGGTAACGATTAAGTTGCCATTCTTTATTACTGAAGAGGTATTTTTCTGTTTCCCTTACAAGGAATAAGTTAGCTCACTCCAAAATCTAGTTCTTATTTGTTCTGAAAACAGTTTGCTCTGTTCATTTAATGTATTAACCTTTCCAGTGGTTAATAAACACAGCTCTTCTCAGCCTCTCTCTCTACTATTACTACCTGGAAAAACATGTGCACAAGAGACTGACTACTAACTTTTTAGAGGCTTTATTTCTTCTTCTTCTCCTCCTTCTCCTTCTTTTTTCTTCTTCTTCTTTTTTTTTTTTTTTTTTGTAACTTATTAAAATTCAGATATTCAACTTCTTTTTTGGGGGGAGAGATGGGAACAGAGTCTCGCTCTGTTGCCCAGGCTGGAGTGCAGTGGTATGATCTCAGCCCAGTGCAATCTCTGCCTTCTGGGTTCAAGTGATTCTCCTGCCTCAGCCTCCTGAGTATCTGGGATTACAGGCGTGCACCACCATACCCAGCTAATTTTTGTATTTTTAGTAGAGATGGGGTTTCACCATGTTGGGCAGGCTGGTCTCAAACTTCTGACCTCAGGTGATCTGCCCACCTTGTCCTTCCAAAGTGCTAGGATTACAGGCATGCGCCACTGCACTAGGCCACAGATACTCAAGTTCTGCTTTAGGAAAAACAAAAAACTGGATTTGAAGTCTTTTAGTAAAGTTGGGACTATAGAGTATAAAACTATTACAGTGTCGTTTGTGGCAAAACTAAATTGATGTTTTTGTTTTTATAATTGGAGTCAGTGGACTCTGCAGTTGAAAGTTAAGGAATGAATGCAGGAAGCGAAGCCTTATCTTACTACGAGGTTATTTCTCACTGTCTCATGTTTTAATCCTAGTCCTCGTCTCAAAGATATAGCCTAATAATCTTTCTCTGTTCTTTTTAGTTCTTGGTATTATTCAGGCCCTCCCTTAAGATAAACACAGAAGCCTTCTTGGATTTAAGGATTTATGGTTCATCTCTGTAGGGAAACAGCAAAATAGCAAATATTAATAGATATGTTAAAAGTGTAGACATACACACAAACATGTATGTGAATTAACAGTAAACAGCCCTTATAATGAACTATTTTTGGTATTCAGAGTATTTTTGTCATCTCCATCCTTTCCACACCCCTGCCTCAAAAGTCCTCTAGACTTTAGCTTAAATATCCCATTCTCAGAGAAACTTTTCCTGACCTTCAGATGAATTAGACCTTCAAGTATCACCCTTAGCATCCTGTACTTCTCCACTGTGACACTAATTAATAAAGAACAAAAAAAAAAAACATGTAATTGGCTATTTCATGTCTACCTCTCTTATTAAGATGTAAACTGCATGAAAAGAAGGACTCTTCATTATATTTGACTTGTATATCAAGTACATGTTCAGTTAGTATTTCTAAAATAGGAAATAGGTAAGAAAATCAGTAATCAGATAACATTTCAAATGGATATCCGTGTGATAAGATAGGAGAATCAAGTCAGGTCAGGAGAGAGTGTGACTGACATAAGGAAGGCACTAATTGAGCAAAGTTCTCAGGGAATGTCTTTCTGAGTAGTTGACAGGTGAGCTGAGACCAGTCTGAAATGAGGGGAGTATGCAGGCTTCCAGGAAGGATCATTCAGGGATGGGGCCAGCAGGGTAGGTCCTGAGACGTCATCACTGCCTTGTTTTATTCTATAAACATCATGAAGGGAAGATATTAGAGATGAGGAAGGCGTGTGACAGATTATGTAGTTCCTGCTTAATAATTTGAAACAAGGGAATGATATAATCTAATTCTAAATGAAAAAAATAATTTTGTTCACTTTGTTGAGTCTGCAGTGTAGAGGGTCAAAGATGCAAGTGGGAGGAACAGCTATAAGAAAGAAGATATCAACTCTGACTAAGGTGGTAACAATGAATATGGTAAGACAAATTAAGATTCAGGAATATTTTGAAGGTAGAGCTAATAAGGCTTTTGGAATTATTGTGAAGCGACTGTGTTGTCTGTGGTGTATACCCTAAGGTTCCTTGTCACATGCCAGGAAAATTTAGGACACAGACACACACGAGGAGTTTAGGAGCAGGAGGTTTAATAGGTAGAAGAGAAGAGAAAGAGAAACAGCTTCCTCTACACAGGAAGGGGCCTCCAAGCAGAAAGGACTGACTGGTGCAGAATGCGCAGTTTTCTAGTCCAGTTTGAGGTGGTGGTGTCTGATTTACATAGGGCTCACAGATTGGTTCGATCAGATATGGCGTTTACATAGTGTATGGGTAAGGCTGGTCACCCCCACCCTAATCTTCTAATGCAAATAGACTTTCCGGTTGATTGACACCATCTTGTGGGCTCCTTACAATGCACTTGGCTGGCAGAGAAGGGAAGATGGAGCCGCCATCTTGAAAAATGTCTAGTCCTTAGTTCCTGCAGGCATTCACCCTTGCAAGCTCCTAGGTTGCAGGCTGCTCTTTGTTAGAGAATGGCTTGGGACTGCTTTTCATTAAAAAGAAAAGCTGTACCAAGGACTCCCATGCACTTGCTGTCTGCTAAGTAATTCCTTCTTAACTCCTGTGTCAATTGGCTATTGCAGTTTGAGAGGAAGAGTAGAAATCAAAAAATTCCAGTTTTTTGGCAACTGTCAGATGTAAGTGGGATCATCAGAGATATAGAAGGAAATGGTAACTTCTGTTTTGGCCACATAAAATTTGAGACGCCTGTTAGATACATGATGTGTATGCTGGGCAGCAGGTTGGATGTGTGGATCAAAAACTCAGGCACAGATTTGGGGCTAAAATGTAAATTTGGGAGAAGTCAGCACTTAGATTATATTCAAAGCTATAGGATTAGATGAGATGCCTGGGGGAGAAGGTTTGAGGTGGAGAGGGAAGCATGGAGGAGGGAGGGGGAGAGAAAAAAAAAAAACAGCAAAAGCAATGATAAGAAGTAAGAAAGGAGGAAAACCAGGTGAGGGGTACAGAAAATTTTGTCAAGTAATTTGCTTATGTAATTAAATGAGGTTGTGACTTGATAGAGGTGAAGGTAGGTTTGGGGGTTTTGATTTGTCTTTAAGGTGGGAGAGTGTGTACTTGCATACATTATGTGAAGACAATCCAATCAGGAAGAGAAAATGGATAGAAGAGGAGAGATGTTATTAAACCAGCAGAGGCTCTGAACACAGATGAAATGATATGATCTAGTGCACGGTTATCCATTATTAAAAATCATTGTACTGCAGAGAGTGTGGCACATTTCTTCTCAAATTATTGACCACCTCAATGTATGGCCTACTGAGCAATTATAGATATGACTGGATAAGAGTTATTTGCAATGAGCAAATATTGATTGCAAGAAATAAACTCACTTATATGACTATAGATGCAAGGAGATTGGTACATTTCATGATGGGAGAAGTATTTTCTTAAGTGATCAGTAAAAATTGTTGGATTGAATCAGTGAAATCACCACATGTGATGCAGGCAGCGTTTTTGAAGTGTAAGGTGAGAGGCAAAGGAGAAAAATAATCTTCAGAGAATGAGGAAGCCAGTTGTCCCATGGTAGAACTTCAGGGCAGTGCTGAATGCTTTCTTAAAATTTAAGGATAAATATAAAGTGTGATGGATCTACAGAGTAATTTATTTTTGTCCTCCATCAACTGGCAGGCACTCATGAAATAAGTTGAATTGTGTTTAATTAGGTTTGGGGCTTTGTCAGGCAAATATGATAGAAGACAAAGGAGCAAGAAAATAAATAAGTAATCAGATAAAATTTGGACTTGAAGATATTGACAAGGAAGTGAGTTTACTGACTGACTATGAAATCCAAGCCAGGCAATGAGGGAAGTGGTAAAAAATGTTGTGAGAAGAATGGTATTGGATTAGAGGTCTCAAGGAATGAAAAGAATTGTTAAAATGAATGAAACTAAATTTAGTTAGCTGGAAAGATAGGCAAAGGTTAGAAATTGGAAGACAGAAATGGAGATGTTTAGATGTGGTCTTTGGTTATAAAATGAAAGTTTGATCCTCACCTATATGATCCATGCGTAAGACTTTTGAAGTCATTTTCAAATAACTACAAATGTTAAATCAGAACACATCACTTGGATATAAAGTAGAAAAAAAATGCCTCTTAGTTCAATTCAAGGAGAGTTAGCTGGTATTCACAGTTGTATACTATTTCAGAAAAGAAAAATATGGATTTGGGAACCTCATTTGCTCTTAGATTCTTCAAAATATATTTTCACGTATGCACTATACATTAGTGATTTGAAAGTGTAAGGGCAATTCACAGAATCACCTAATTCCCTCTCAGTTTTCTCCCAGGTTTATGTGTTGGGAACATTGCAATTATATGATATATAATATCCTTTTTTTAACCATGTTTGGTACCATGTCATAAAAGTAATATGAAGCTATAACCTTCCAACTGAAATACTGTATAACCTACCATTATAGATTTGCTGAACTAAGGTAAATGCTTCACTAACATTCAAGGGTAGATATGATGCACATAAAAGGATTTGCACTGTAAGATCATTGAGGAATAAATGAAAATCACGTGTACATTGATAAACATGCAGGTTGGCAGTTTGCCGCTTAGTTAAATTAGCTGTTATTATATGGTGGGTAGACAGTAAATATTTCTTTAAATGAGTTCTTTGTCATAAAACAACACATTAAAATAAGAACTGCAACATAAGAACAGTAATCTGTTGCTTAAGAATTGAGGGAAATAAAGAGTAGGCATTTAGCTATATAGTTTACTAAATGGTTTTCGTTTCATTGCATTATCTGTGAACTTTTCATTTTACACTTGGTATTCTGTGTTTCCTTCATAGATTGTTGTTTGAAAGTCGATATACTTTTTCCAAATTCTAGAAAGTTAAACTACTCTGGGGAATACAAAATTCTTTAAAGAATTTTTTGTATGTATATATCAAAGATTAATCACTCCAGAGCTTATATTTTTACCTGTGAACATTTATCCCCATTCCAGATTAACCTTTCTCCAGTCATATGTATAACTGTTTAGAAGGCAAGAATATATAGTCAATGATTTGAGAACAAATGTGCCCCACTCTCCGTTGTACAATGATTTTCAGTAAAGATGTTTAAATGAGTAAAAAGATTATATTTCTTTGGAATTCAATTAGATAAAATAGTAACATTTTTCAGGATGTCATAAAGTTAGGCTAATTTTTCTGATAGTCATGCCTTAGGTTGATGTGGGATATGTAAGATGAAATTAGTTTTACACTGAAATCATATTTGGTGTAAATGTATAGTTACATATATTACAGTGGCCTAGCAGTGTCGACAAGTATGCTATTTTTCTTCCACAAAGAGATTTCCAGTTGCCTCAAATATTTTTCCCCTTTTGGTTTGATAAGTAGTATAGAAGGCATGTATTTGAAACTTAGAAATTGAGCTGAGACCTCAAAGCTCAGTTCAGTTAAGAGTTTCATGTCCTGGAGCGATGCTGCCACCGGAGTCAACATCATAATCACAAATGGTATTCTCATGGAAATCAGATCACTTGATGTGGATGTGTGGGAAAGAAACCAAGTGGCTGTATGACATAGTATACCACATAATAAAATCACACACCAACAGCAAGAAATTGTGTTTCCACAGCATGAAAATGATATATGGCCACCAGCTGGAAAGGAACGAAAACGTTCAATAACCAAAAATCCCAAAATTGGAGGTTTGCCTCTGATTCCAATACAGCATGAGGGGAATGCAACCCTGGCCCGGAAAAATATCGAGGTAGGTTAGGCTTTTGTTTTATATTCAATTATAGAATATATTTTCCTGTGTCATAATGTGATTAGGTCATTAATTACTTCATTGGCTTCAAAAGCACAATAATCATCACTTTGAAAAGCATGGTAATAATCACATACAACAAGAAAACAGTGTGAATAACTTTATACCTTTTATGTTAACGTCATTGACCACCCAATCACATATGCACAATACTATTTATTTTCTTACCTCTAAAGTAGCCAATTTTAAATATGCGTATAGAAATTCTGGTGGTAAAATCACAACTTCAAATTCATTTTACAAGCTTACTTAAAACACCCTCAGAGTAAGCCCATAGCAGAATATGTCTGGAGCCCTGGTAACTGAACTTTCTAGTTACATAATCACATTTCAGTGCTTTGGGAACTGGTGGGGTGTCTCAGTTAATTTAAGGACCTACAAGATGACCCCTGAGAATCAAAAAAAATTTGGCATCTTTCATGAAAGCTACTGCTTGTTTTCCTTCTCACCTTGAGGGTTGGGAGAGCATAAGCGACATCAATCTTGACATGAACTTTGGCCTCTTCAGCAAAGAACATGGGCTGTTGACGCTCAAAACTCGTTAGCCACCTTGGGACCAACACATATTTCAGTGTCTTAATTGACTCCCTGAAAGCAAAAAGAAAAGCAGTTAGAATGTGTTCTTATATCTTCCTTGAGCCTAAATTTGGAATTAAGTTGTTCAAATCTTTTGCTCTCCAAACATAAATAACTTTTGAAAGACAGAAGCCATTTTGACCTAGTGATTAGATTTTTAAACTTTTTGTGCATATCCTTTCTTGAACATCTATCCCACTGTAATATTCTTTCTCTGAAAGAGAAAAGCTTCAAAAATAATGGTCCTTTGTTTACTGCTTAGACGTTCTGCCCTGATGTAATCAAAGTAAGTGTCTCCAAGAAATCATGACCTCGTCATTTCTTCCATTTTATTTTTTTCTGTACCATTTTCTGTACCTCAATTTTTTTTTTCTTTTTTTTTTGGGGGGGGGCAATAAACTGCTCTGCAGAGAGTTCCTTATCTAATCAAGCATCTTAAAATTCTAAGAGTTACATTTCCCAGGAACCCAGGACAGTGGACACAGGCTGAACAGATGAAACTAACATAGGGAGAGATACGCCCTACAGTGACTGTAGCTTCTTTTGACATTGCCTTCGAATCAGTTATCGAGCAAAGCAAAATATTGGGATCAAAATGCATTCACCAGTATCTAGTATAGATGATGACTGACTGTATAATAATTTCTTAGCCTTATCCCAAATCCACAATTTCAGAGACAATTTTTAACATATTTAAGATAGGAAAACTGATGAACTGAAACTATGAAGTGTTACAAGCTTTTAAAAGAATTAGAATGCATTATCAATTACTGGAAAATTTCTGAGTCTTTAAAATAAACCAAGCTCTTTTGTAATAAGGTAGTTTGGTGATTTGATAAATTTGTCAAAGACATTTTTTAACTGTTCTAATGCTGGAAAAGCACAATGAAACTTACTTTATAAGGCAATAATATAATTTTTTAAAAAAATTTCATATAAACCATTAAAATATTTGCTATAGAATTAGATTCATATAAAAATTTTAAAAAATATATTTACAAAATAACCATTTTTGACCCTTTGTTGTAAAAATGAAAAGTGAGTTAAAATATTATTAAGTAGGGTATATTAATAAAAATTAGTCATAACAATGAATATATTCAAGAAGAATTACTTTTCAAAGAAGTTGTTGACAGATTGATAAATTTTGTGGCTACGCCTGGCTTTCATTCAGTCCTATTGAAAGTCGTATGAGAATACCTTATCCAGGTAGGGAAGGCTTCATGGCGAAATTGACTTCTAAAGTTAATTGAGGAAATTAGTAGTGAGCCAGCTGAAAATGCCAGGTTGTTGGCAGAGGAAATCACACATGAAGACGCAAACAGAATGCTTAAGAATGCACAAACTAGATACTACCTGTGGTCCTCCTGCTGAGTCCCTATAAAATCATGGATCTCTTACTTTAACTCCATTGTTCTAAGCTGCTTTATCTGTAAGCATATGGGGTTAATAAATGTCACATGATTAAGTGACATTTGCATGAGACTTTATTAGAATAATGACTAGCATATCTTTAACGTATATTGAAACAGAATATTAAGGAACTTGGAAGATGATATGGAATAATTCATTAGTTTTTTTCAAAATTGCTATTTTAAAAGCAATATCTGTAAAACAAAAATAATGAGCGAAGAATGATGATGCACTGAAGCAGAAAATTGTGACATAGAATCCCACCCATAAGCCCATCTTTGCTGTTGGTATCCTGAGCACAGTTTGATGTGGTAGAAAGAAGTACGCTGGTTTCAGAAAGGCCAACCTGGGGTCCTCTCCCAGGCTCTCACTTGTGCGACCTTGGGCAAGTTTTTTTCTTCGAGTTTCTATTTCTGCATCTGCAAGATAAAGACAATTTACTTTAAACTATGAATAATATAGAGTTTAAAGCATTTAAAGTGTTGTTGTGATGATTAAATATATTGATATGATTATGTATTTTACAGCATGAAGATTAATACAGTGAGTTTGGTAATGAAAGCCAATTAAGAGAGTTTCTAATATACTCTGTACATATTGGTCATGTTACTTTTTGGTGTCCTAAGACCTCTGTAACCATTGGCTTGCCTCTGGATTTAATGGAAAATATGAAGGCACAGGCTAAAGCCATATGAGTGATTTGCTGTGAGAACCCATTCATTATACCATTCTCTAGCTATGATAAGTAAAAACTACTCTCTCTGCCACTGAGAGAGACAGACTCTATTTCATATTATTATTTCCATTCAAAACATAAAAACTCTGGGGCTCTCTTAGACACAGAATGTAGGGGCCAAGTAATATCATCCATAATGCTGAAATTTGAAGTACACTACTGGTATGGTTTGCATCTGTATCCTCACCCAAATCTCATGTTCAAATGTAATCCGGTGTTAGAGGTGGGGCCTGATAGGAGGTGACTGAATCATTTTAACATATTCTAATGAAACTTTGGAATTAAGCTAGATATTAAACATTTCTTCCAATAAATTTCAGAGTAGGAAAAATGTGTATAACTTAAGATGTATAATCAGAATCTTACCAGAAAATTCCAAATTTTAAAATTATTTGTACATTATATTCATGAAAATATTTTTATTCCACTTGAATTTTCTGTTATAAATTTATGTTTGGATCTACTGGAATTAAGGAAAATAGAAAAGAAAATAGAACATTGTTGTACACTGGAAACTGCTTAAACTTTTCTTCATTTACTCATTCAAAAATACTTACTGATCATTTCCTATGTGTATACAAGGTTCACACTTCAGTGAACTAATTAAACAAAAGGGAAAAAAAAAACCAGAAATCTTGCTAGATACATCTAAGCAGGAGTGAGTTAGAAGAGGTAAGTATGAAGTGAGATTAAATGTGGGTAACCCAAAAGACATCTTTGAAGTGGTATGTTGAATGCATGTTAAAATGAATTTCCATGGATTGCATTTAACAGATGTTTCTCAACTTATGATGGGGTTACATACCAATAAACTCACCATAAGGTGAAAATACATAAAATAAAAAATACGTTAAATACAACTAACCTATGGAATGTTGTAGCTTAGCCTAGCCTAGCTTAAACGTGCTCAGAACATTTATGTTAGCCTCCAGCTGGGCAGAATCATCTGACAACACAGCACACCATATCAGTTATTCACCCTCCTGAGTCCATGGCTGACTGGTAGCTGCAGCTCACTGCCACTGCCCAGCGTCACCAGGGAGTGTCCTACCAGGCATCGCTAACTGGAGAAAAGATCAAAATTCAGAATTTGAAGTATGCTTTCTACTTAATGCATATTTGTTTTGCACCATTGTAAAGTCAAAAAATCGTATCGAAGCATTGTAAGCCAGGGACTGTCTGTAGTTGATTTTGTAGCTCTAAGATTAGTATATAAATTAAGACATGCCACTTTTATCGAAGTAAAGTTAGGACCTAAGTCATAGAAATGAGCTCTTTTATAGGAAGCATCAACTTTTATGTGGATTGCACTTTCTAAACCTGAATTGTGCCACATCTTGCTTCCCTGTGAGACATTTTATTTTATTTTTAGAGTGCAAGAGCAGAACTTGAAAGGCTGCGGCTCATTGAAAAGTGTGATAAAGAGTCCGTGGACTCGAGCTTAAAGGAGAGAGCTTCCATGGTGGCCCACTGCCTGGAGCACAAGGACGATAAACTTCGAAATCGAACCCGAAAACATCGGAGTTTCAACTGCCTGGAGGACACAGAGCCTGAAGCCCTACTCGGGCAACCAAAAGGCCATAAAGGACTAAAGACATTGAGGAAGACTGAGGACAGGAATAGCAAGGCTACTTTGGACTCTGATCATAAGTTACCATCCAGGGTAATTGAAGAACTTAATGTGGTTCTACAGCGGTCAAGAACCCTTCCAAGAGAATTACAGGATGAGCAGATTTTGAAGTAGCAAATAAAATGAATTGCTCCCCAGATTATTTTTTTAATTATTGTATGCAATCTTTATGTGTAAATCTGAAACTGAACTATAAGATAATTCATAAGAATTTGCCTATTGATAGGCAAATTTGTCTATCTATACTTAGGCATTTAAGGAGCATTTAAAAATATGTATATATGTGATTAAGTGTAAGAATAACTTTATTTTGGTCTGAACAAAGCTTGTAAAGTTCCATTGTACTAACTTTGTGTAAGAAGACAATGGGTTACTTAGGTGGTCAGCCCTTTTAAAGTAGTTATCTGTTAGTGGTATAATTTATGAGCAGAAATCTCAAACTGTACTGTATTGTATAAAATGCTGTGTTTAAATGAAGTCTAAGAAACTATCTGTAACATATTTTGCACTTTGAGAAACCTTGTATATTAAATTACCATATGTTTTTAGGTTTACAGAGGGTCTACCTTAGGGAAAAGAAGGGAAGTAAATTGAAAAAGGGGGGAGAATGTATTCTAGTGGTTGCCTAAAAAACACTGGAGCTTTTAAAAGAAGCAAGGAGTTAAATGTCCTGCAAAACAAGGAAGTGAGCTAAGATTCATTCAAGTTCACTAATGACCAGAACTTGTCAATGAGAAGCCACTTGTTAAGAAAAAAGTCTAGTGTTTATTTCCCAAGAGTAATATTCGGCCAACAGATGTAAATAATAGCACTAGCCACTCTTATTAATATTTATAGTGTTAGAAAATCAGCCACATTATAGATTCACTACGTTTGAGCTCATTGTTGGTGGCTGCTAAGAGGAAACTTACACTGCATTGGAGAGGTTGTGTACACAGGACCTGGCCTGGATGCTGATTTCACTGTCGTTGTATGCAAGCTTTTTTTTTTTTTTTTTTTTTTTTAAGAATTTCTGACTATACTTTTGGTAGGAACAAAATTCATCACCGCAAGGTCCTGCTGTTCTGTTTGATTTTTACAAGTTTTATTATTATTTTAAGTAAGATTATAATGTTTTTCTTTGAATTCTCAGAAATAACTGGAAGAATACAATATTATGGCCATTATGGAGCCGGGGGTAGTTGGTGGTTTACTGTACATTTGGGGCTACTTGTTCACATTTAATCTAGGTGTTTTTTGTTTTTTGTTTTTTGTTTTTAAATAAACGAGTGGTCTCTTCCCTGTACTTGTGAATAAGGACAAAGCCCTATTTTTGTTTCCACATAAAGATCAGCTACTGAATTGGTGATTTTCCTGACAGACAATACTATCTAATCATAGTTCATGTTAGGGGAAGCATTTTTCATCAGTTTCTTTAAAATTGGATTATGTTTGCTGAGTTTTGATATTTAACATTATTTTATGTAGCTAAGCCTTTTTTTTTTTTTTTTTAGCATTTCTTTTTTATTCTTCAATCTATATACACAGGCCCATACTTCAGTCAGTCCAATCATAGTACAGTGATGTGGTGGTAAATGCTATGAATTTCTTCATTGTAAAATACAGATCATTTGTATTTTGGGGTGATAAAATAGTTCACCATTGGTATGAGATATTTATTCTTTAAATCAAAGTAAATTAGAATTTTTAAAAAGCACAAAACTGCAGGACAGTTTATGAAATAGGTAGCACTATTAGGGAATCTTCCTTTAAGGCAAGAAATCATGTTATTTAGAAAGAAAAACTGATCTTAAACATACTATTTCTAATAAATATTTATATTTTTATGAAATAAAAGGTATGTGGAAATTAATGTTTGGTGATGTTGGACAGTGGAAAAGTATCTAGAGTTTTTACCTGCCTTATCTGAATTTTTCTTGAAACTTACTCTAATAGCTGTTTCCCTTTCTATTCTGAACAATTGTCTCCATTTTTCAAGTGTAAGATAAGGGCTAATGATGACATCTCATTTATTTTGAGTAAACATTAAAATTGTTTTACAAGTCTACTAGAATGTGACTTTATTATTTTCAGAACTTGAAGTTTGTTATTGTGAAATAGATCAAGTAGATTAGCTTTCTTTCCTTTTAAAAAAATTTGAATTTAATATGTACTTCAAACTGGTCGTATTGTTTTTCCAAACAGGTCAATATAAGTAGCTTTATTTATTTAAAGGCTCACTTGCTGAGAACCAGGCACAATTACAGGCTCTGTGGCCTGTATCGATGAGGCTGCTGACCAGCCACATCCCTGCAAGATGCATAGTACCACCCCTGGTTTATGGGCATCTCTACCAGCCTTGCCATATCGCGAGAAGGCCAAGGGCCTGGCACAAGTGTCTGGCACCTCAGCAGTGCCACTTGGTCATTCATGAGCAGCCCCTCATGTTCAGGAACAGTGCCTGACACCCAGGCCACTTCAGCTGCATCCACTGTAGGAAGGAGCTGACTGGCGAGGCCCATGAGCTGAAGGGTGAACTCTACTGCCTGCCCTGCATTTACAAGATGCTGTCCCCATTTTTAGGGACTGCAGCCAGCCCATCAAGGGTCACATAGTGAATACACTGGGCAAAGAGTGGTGGCATGCAGAGCTTTTTGCCCTGAGTGTGAGAAGCCATTCCTGGGGCTCTGGCACTATGAGAAGAAGGGCCTGGCCTACTTTGAGATCCACTACAGCCAGCTCTTTGGAACATCTGCAGCCATGAAGTCAAGGGTGACATGGTGTTGGTCCTCAACAAGGCCTGATGTGTGTGAACTGCTTCTCCTGCTCCACCTACAAGAGCAGGCTCACTCTGAAGATCAACTTTGTGGAGTCTGACATGAAGCCCGTGTGTAAAAGGTGCTAGAACTTCCTCCTGGAGCTGAAGAAGAGGCTGAAGAAGTCATTGGAACTCACATCTCGCTAGGCCCAGCCCAAGTCTAGGGACCTCAACTCTGAAGGCTCTCTTGCCTGGCCCTTCTCTCCCTCCCTTTCTTCTCCCAGAGGACCTCTCCCTTCTCCCTCTCCAGCTCTCTGCCTTCTCACAGCCGCCTCCCACTTCTATTGTCTGCTCTTGGACTCCTCATCTCTCTTTACCTGCTTCTTGTCCTCCCCTCGTCTCCTTCCTCATCATCTCCACCCTTTCTATTATCTTATCTCTGCCTTCCCCAATGTCTTTTCTCTCCTTTGCGGTGGCTCCTCTCCTTCCTTTTGTGCAGAGGCAGGGACCTAAGAGGTGGGGAGCCTGTGAAGGGCCTGGGTCCATGCCCTGTGATTGCATCTACCTCTGTCCGCGCTTCAGCCTGCAGAACTCCAGAGATAGCAAACCAGGGTCTGGGGGCACCAGGGCTCCCATCCTGACCTGTCCCTCCCCACAGCGGACCAGGTTGCACATATTCTTGTGGAACCCTCCACCCCAGAGTGTACCCACAGCCAGGGCAGCCCACCTGAGCTGCAGGATTAGGGCTACGCTTCAATCTCACCATTCACTTAACCAAGTAGTATCCCTGGGCCCAAACTGGACCAACAAATCCTGCCACGCCATTCACTACCTGCAGGGACAGGAGTCCACTTCCATCAAGAGGACTTTCTGAAATCCCACCTCGGCCCCTGCCTCTGGCTAGACCACTGTGGTTCTCCCCTCCCCCAGCCCAGAACCTGTGTTGAGACTTTGGGTGTGGCTGGGAACAGGAGGTGATAGGGTCAGAGGTGGCTTATTGAGCAGACCTGATGTTGGGACTCAGGCTTGCAATAATAAAGGCTTAGTCACTGGGGAAAAAAAAAAAAAAAAAAGTGCTCAAAGGCACTCTGATTTTTATTTCTGTAGCCCTAAAATTAATTAGACATGGTTTTTAAGTAGTTGATTTCTAAACAAATCATTACCTGATGATTCATCAAAGTGTCACTGAGAACTCCAAACCAAGCAAAAATAATTGGAGCAAAAATATGACTTATGAACATAACTATATTAGCTGCTGAATTGCATTTTTTTGATTCAAAAACTGTAATGCAAAAGCAATTTTTAAAATGCATCAAATTTATTCAAACAGGTTGTAGCATGCAGATATTTGCATCTTTTTAAATTTTTAATAATCACTTTAGGAAGACGATTAAAACTTTCACCATCTCAACAAAATTTGCACAAAGGCTTACATATTCTTCCTTCCTCAAATGAACTTGTAATCAACCCCCAAACTCATTTGGCTTGCCTCACAAATGCCAGTAAGTTAAGGAGGTGGAACAAGGAAGGCAACTTTCTTTTGGAAAGCCAGCAAACCAAGAAGATGGATGACTAGTGTTCTAAAGTACCATTTTAAGTCAGTACAAATTTCAAGCTGTTTTTATGTTTAAGGTAGCAGGAAGAGGAAGGGGTTGGGATCAAGAGGTGACCACAACTGCAGACATTTGGGAACTAGTGAAGAGTTTGAGGCGGCTGGAGCTGCTTCATCCATGATCAGATCACAATACTTCTGCAAATCTTTATTATTATTATTATTATACTTTAAGTTCTAGGGTACATGTGCACAACATGCAAGTTTGTTACATAGGTATACATGTGTCATGTTGTACCCATTAACTCGTCATTTACATTAAATATTTCTCCTAATCCTATCCCTCCCCCAGGCTCTTCCGACAGGCCCTGGTGTGTGACGTTCCCCGCCCTGTATCCAAGTGTTCTTGTTATTCAATTCCCACCTATGAGTGAGAACATGTGGTGTTTGCTTCTGCAAATCTTTAACAAAACATAGCTGTTTACATACTTTAATTGCAGAGTTAGTTAAGAAAACTACATGACTGTTTTCTTTGAATTTTTTCTCAGTGCTCTAAAATTAGCCTACGAACAAGAATGGGTAAAGACTTCTTATAGAAAAAATGGAGTTAGTTATGTTAGTTTTTCTACTGTTTCACTGTTACCAATTAGTTAAGACAGAATTATTTGTGAAATGTGACCATTTTTCTGTCATGTATACGATCATCACACTGATTTCTAATGATCAGGAAATGCAAAGCACAGAAATGAACCAGGTGACTAAAGTTTATGCTTTTAAGTTGTATAATTATTTTAACATTCTTTTATTTAAAATGTCATAAATCACATTGTATTCCCCCTTCTCTGCCACAGCTACTATATGCTGAATGTAAAGGTTTTCGTAATTGAGATACCTCTGCAGATTTAACCCTTTTTATGAGTCAAAGTTCAGAGTCTAAATGTCCTCATCTGAGAAGCAGGAATGTTAATTAACTTGTTGACTTTTTTCAACAACTATTTTTTACACACATACACATAAATTATGAGCCAGGTATATGAAATAGATACATACATAGTAGCAGACTAGAGGTACAATAAATGTTAGTTATTAATGTATTAGTTCTCCTAACTCTCATTTGATCTTAATTGACCCTAATGGTTTTCAGAACTGCTTCTAGCAGGCAGATCAAGATGATGAAATAGAAGGCTCTTCCAGTTGTCCTTCACGAAAGAACACCAACCTAATAACAACTCTCTACACAGAAAACAAACTTCATATGAACCAAAAATCAGATGAGCTCTCACAGTACCTGGTTTTAACTTCATGTCACTGAAAGAGGCACTGAAGTGATAAGAAAAACTGCCTTGAATCAACACAATTCCTCCCCAAACTCCTAGCAGCAGCAGCATGCTGCATTGAGGAAACATTTTAGAACAGTGGACTGGGCAAAAATTTCTTGAGTCATATCCCCACAAGCACAGGCAACCAAAGCAAAAATGGACAAATGGGATCACATCAGGTTAAAACCTTCTGCATAGCAAAGAGAAAAACCAACAAAGTGAAGAAACAATCCAGAGAATGGCAAAAAATATTTGCAAACTATCCATCTGTCAAGGGATTAATAACCAGAATAAATAAGAAGCTCAACAACTCTATAGGAAAAAAATCTAATAATTTGATTAAAAGTTGGCAAAAGACTTAAACAGACATTTCTTAAAAGAAGACAAACAAATGGGAAACAGAAAGATAAAATGGTGCTCAACATAAATTCTCAGAAAAATGCAAATCAAAACTACAATCAGAAATCATCTCACCTAAGTGAAAATTGTTTATACCCTCAAAACAGGCAATCATAAATGCTGGTGAGATTGTGGAGAAAAGGGAACCTTCTTGGTGGGAATGTAAGTACAATTACTATGGAGAACAATTGGAGGTTCCTCAAGAAACTGAAAGTAGAACTACCGTATGATCCAACGATCCCACTGCTGGATATGTACCCCAAAGAAAGGAAATCAGTATATCTATGAGATAGCAGCACTCCCATGTTTGTTGCAGCACTATCCACAATAATCAAAATATGGAAGCAACCTAAGTCTCCATCAACACATGAATCAATAAAGAAAATGTGGTACTTCTACACAATGGAGTGCAATTCCTCCATAAAAAAGAATGAGATTCTGTTATTTGTAACATGTATGGAACTGGTGGTCAATATTCTAAGTGAAATGAGCCAGGCTCAGAAAGACGAACACCACCTGTTATTTATTTGTGGGATCTAAAAACAAAACAATGGAATTCATTGAGATAAAGTGCAGAAGGATGGCAACCAGGGCTGGGAAGGGTCGTGGGATGGGGGTTGGGGACAAGATAAGAATGGTTAATGGATACAAAATAATAAAAAGAATCAATGAGACCTAGCATTTGATAGCACAACAGGGACAGGTTGCCTATAATCAGTTTAATTGTAGATTTTAAAATAACTAAAAGAGTATAACTGGATTGTTTAACACAAAATATAAATACTTGAGGGAATGGATAACCCATTTTTCATGAAGTAACTAGTCAACATTGCATCCCTGTATCAAAACATCTCATGTACCCCATAAGTGTATACACCTACTATGTACCCGTAAAAATTAAAATAAAATTCTTTAAAAAAAAATAAAAAGCTGCTTCTAGCAATTTTTTCTTTATCCTTTAAAACATATGTTATGCACTAATCAAGCAGATTACCACAAGTTATGGGCTGAGATGTCTTCCCCCAAAAATCATATGTTGAAA